GTACACACACATGCACGCGTACACACACACATGCACGCGTACACACACACACACACACGTGCGTGCGCACACACACACACACGATGTGTCTGAGGACCTGAAAGTATGCTGGTTTAATTACACATTTCTTGGTGAGTAAAAAGTAATTTATAAGGCTGCATTATAATGAAATTTAACCTAAATCATAAAATATTAGAGTGATTAGTTTTTTTGAGTAGCATTTTAAGTTCTGCAAATAAGAAAGCTATTATTCAAATTTAAATATTATGTCCAAAATTTGTACATTAGAATGATCAAAACCCTAATGTTAAGCCAGACAGAGTCACTGCTTAAATCACATTTAAAAGTGGGAGACATTCCCATTTTGAATAGTGACAAAAAAGTTAAAATCAGAGATAATTATAGAGGGGAGAGGAAACCCTGTGGTTTCTCTGGAGTGAGTATGCATCTGAGACCAAGCAAGAAAAGGAGGCATTACGTGACAACTGGGCTGGGTGCCTTACACTGTATTTGCATGAGGACTGTTAGGTATAATGACTACCCATTTTACAGGTGAGGTAATTAAGACTTAGGAGACAGTGCAGCTTGCCCAAGGTGATGAACATTGACTCAGGTCTGCTAGGATTGAAAGCCCCATTTCCTTTCACTATGCTGTAGGCCAGACCAAGGACCAAAGGGAAGAAAAAGAAGATTCAATTGACCACAGTGCAGCTGGGAGGAATGGGCAGGATGGGCCAGAGGCAGAGCTGTGGGGATTAGAAGGTGGCACCAGTTAACTTCATTTCCATTCTTGCCCAATGTTTGACATTTTCTGTTATAGGTCATTCACTTCCTTGCTTGAGTCTCAACTGTGTTCCTTGTTGGGATTCAGTGTATCTGTTATCTGTCCAATAGAGGATCTGTGCCAGAGAAAAGGATGTCAGCTTGGGGGTATTGAAGAGCCTCAGAAAGAATTCATCCCAAGAAGAAGAAGGCAGTGCTGTGAACTTGTCCAAATTCCAAAGAGAAATGTAATGTGTAGTTTAAACCATGCTGAGTGGCCTAAGCTTTGTTCTCCTTGTCCCCTCTGACCCCTCCTGCTCTCCTGCAGTCACAGGTCTGCATGGACTTCCAGAGGCTCTCCCTTGCTTTTCCCGCTCTCTCTCCCTGAAGATCTCTTGTGTATCTGGTCTTGCTTGGTATTTGTTTTTTGCTAGACTTAGACTAACACAGAAATGTCAACCAGTGCTGCCCCTGAATTATAGGTCATCGGGCAGTTCTAACATTTTGACAGAAGGGAGCCTTGAGGGCCTGCCTGGTGGTCGTCAACTTGATTTTGAACATATATGACTCCATCTTTATCCCTTGTAGTTCTGGACACACCTGGTGGCACTTTGCAGAAAGCTGAGATAACCTGATAAGCAGATGAAGCACCATCTCAGAAAACCTGGACTCTGGCTACTACTGGGTCCCAATTGGTGGCCAAAGACTGGTGAAAGGATGAGACCTGGGAAAAGTCAGTTTGCAAGCACACGAGGAAAATATTATGTTCAACTGATGATCATTACAGTTCTAAACATGATGAGCTCTGGTTTCTGTAGCAAGAGTGTTACAATCATTTTGTATTTGTAAGTTAGGCAAGATAACAAGGAAACATGTCTGCTGCTTGCTGTATGCCAGCCACTGTACTAAGCTTTTTCCTTGGTAACCCTAAGACAGGTACTTATTCAATATCCATCACCCCTGTCTCTGTGCTAACAAAAGCTTGTTTTTGTTTGAGACAATGTACCCAGCCTCAGGTAGCAGTTTATAACACTTCTGTTCTCTGCAGTCCAGGCTTCTTTTCCACTGAGGGGTGTGGGACTGGATGATGGAAGGCTTTGGAAGACTACAGGGAAATTCCTCATTCCCTTCAGGCCTTTGCTCACATGTTCCCTTCCTTGACCACCCTGTTTAAAACCTTAGGGCCTAGCACACAGTAGGAACTTCCTAACACATGAACATGTGGAAATAAGAATTAGAAAGTACAGAACGGCAAGCACAAATGCCCTGGGGTAGGAACAGGTTTGGTATGTTTGGTGAACATGAGGCCAGCATGACTGTGGTGGGTGTGATGGAGGGAGAATGGGTGACAGGACCCATTGAAATGAGGGCTTGCAAGGCCAATAGAGCCTTTGGCTCATACTCTGAGTGAGCTGGAAGGCTAAGGAAAGTTATGGGCAGAAAAATGGCAGCATCTGATTCTGGCTCCATTTAAAACTACCAGATGGCTCTTGTTGAGAGACAGAGAAACAGAAAGGAAATGCTGCAAAACTCCAAGCTGGTGATAATGTGGCTTGGACCAGGGTGACAGCAGTGAGGGAGGAGAGAGGTGATCAGCTTCTAAGGGTTTGCTGACAGACTGGCTGTGGACTGTGAGAGTAAGTGTGAAGGATGACTTCAAGATCTTTGCCTCTTTCCTGGGGACGTGGTGTGCAGTGGTTACAAAGAGCAGCCAACTCCATAGTGTATGAGCTTGTTGTATGTATGGTTGCCCTAAAGGACCTTGGAGACAGTTTTCTAGTGGATGTTCGTATCTCTGATCTCAAGCTGTCGCCAGTCTAGGATCCAGACAGGCGGTCTGAGAATGTGAGCCAGTTACAGATGGCAAAACCGAATCAATAAATGGCCAAAGTGATGGATCCAAGAGTTCTTTACCACGTGGGTGGTACGGCAGGATTTCAGTCAGTGATGAGGCAGTTTCAACAGGGTGCTGCTGGCGATATGAAAGGCATGACGGGATTCAACAATAAGATGCCTTAATATAAACTGACTTGGTTGTTTACATTATTTGCTAAGACCTCAGTTTCCTTTCATTTTCAGAGTATTTTCTTGCCTGTTTTGCCCTCTTTGTCTCCTTTTCTTTGTCCTTTCTTCCCTCCCTTCTTTTGAGATAAAGGAGGAATACATGGCTTTTGTGGAAATCCTTACATTTCTGTTTTAAATTTTCTTCTTTTAGTTTTCACCAATACTTCTTAAGTGAAACAAATCATGATGTAAAATTTTAGTGCATAAAGGTTTTTAATTATCTCAAGGGACAAAACATTACACTTCTAATCAGACCTGGTCAGTAAATTACATGACATCTCAGTAAAAGTACTATAAAATAAACTTTAAAGGGTTATATATACATATATATATAAATCTGCCTCTAGCAGCAGGAAGCATGATGGGTTTTGGAGAGAAAGGCAGGCACTCAGTATTGGACATGTTTAAATCTAGGGTTAATTCATAACTGTTTACCTGTTAAACAGCTCAGTGGAGGTCTAAACAGGTATACACTTTGTTTTTTTTTTTGCAGTACTGGGCTTTGAACTCAGGGCCTATACCTTGAGTCACTCCACCAGTTCTTTTTCCTGATGGGTATTTTCAAGGTAGGGTTTTGGGAACTATTTGCCCAGGCTGGCTTGGAACCGCAATCCTCCTGATCTCTGCCTCTCGAGTAGCTGGGATTATTAGGTGTGAGTCACCAGCACCAGCCTACCACTTCTTGATTTTATAGGAGAAGTCCAGGCAAGACATATAGGAGTTCTTAAAGCATGACTTGGTGACTTCACCTAAGACACACATGGAATATAGAAAAAGTAAGATAGAAAAATGTTCAAGCCAGGTGCGGGTGGCTCACACGTGTACCCCTATCTATTCTGGAGGTTCAGATCAGGATGACAGATGTTCAAAGCCAGCGCAGGCAAAAGTTCTCAATTGAGAACTGGCTAGGATTGAGGCCAGCCGGGACTACAGAGCCATACCTGGTCCCAAACAACAAAAATGCTGTGAGGAAAGGGCTCTTGACCTAATTGGATGAAAGGGAACCTGCTTCACAGAGCTCAGGCATCTGTCCAAGGGCACACAGCTGGGTAAGTGCTAACATCTCATGGTTTCGCAGCTTTCTTTCCTCCACCAACCTAACTTACTCGCATCATCTCTGTCTTCTCTTTCCCATTTAACTAGCATTTCCTCTTTATCCACGTGAAGTTTTACATATAGTGCATTCTAATCTTTTATTAGATTTCCAGCCAGGATCTGTCCCCACGCTAATCCTCCTACAAATAAGGCTAATGTGTCACCTTCCTGCTTAGTTCTCCTATTAATTCTCCCCACTCCATAATCCAGCTTCCTGAGCCTTCAAAATGTGGCTCCTGTCTCTCCTGCCATTCAGTTTTGTGTGCTGTTGTTTCCTTTTTGCATTTATGCTGGCAGTGAACTCCCAGTACAGTAATGACATGATGGGGTAGGAGAGTAGGGGGACCTCCAGGTTCTGTGGCACATCTCAGAAGAAAGCTTTGAACGTCTCACTGTCAAATAGGAAGCTTGGCATAGGACTGTTTTAGGTGCCCTTCATCAGATAAAGGAAGTTCTCTTCTTTCTTGGTTGCTAAGGATTTATTGTGATCATGAATGGATGCTGAATTTTATGAAATGTTTTTCTGTACATACATGGCATCATCTCTTTGGCCAATCATTGATTTATTTTCTACTGTTAAATTAACCTTATATCTTCTGGATAAAGCCACCTCACTCTTTATGCCTTATCCTTTTAAAATATATATTTCCAGATTTGATTCACTGATACTGCACTTAGAAGACAGTCTTATAATTTGTGCAGTGGCTCAGGGGAAGCAGTTTTTGGATAGGTGACCAACGGCAATGTGACAGAGAGGAGCAAAGTTTGATTTCCACTGCTGTCTGGGATTAAGGCCTTCTCATGAATGGCAAGGACTAGGGTAGAGGGCATGTAAGAATTTATGTTTTCCTGTGGGAAAACAAAACTTTCTCATTGAAAACTTTCACATACAGTACAAAATTTAGTAATGTTAAGTACACAAATTGGAATAAATCTTACTGTTATAATTCAAATGTTTTAATAGCCATAAGGGCCTACATTTATCAATAAGTTTGATAGCTTACCACACATCACAAATAATGAACAAAAAGAAAGAGAAGACCCACAGAGTGTCCCCAGATCCCCTTTAGAAAGTTCTTCTACATCATCTCCATGTATGGCACCTCTGAGACTTTGACTAGGCCAAGGTTGATGAGGACAGTCTTTTCCAGTTCCAAGTAACTTTCGTAATCCAATTTTAGCTCAGCCTCCATTTGTTCTTTAGACTTATGATATGTTTTCTAGGGGAAGAAAGGCAAAGCATCTCTATAAATCACCAATAGCTACAAAAGCAAAGAATGAAAAGGGGCTTCTGATAAATAGTTGACATGGCTTTGTAGGAGGCCAGGAAGATTATGGGGCAGTTTTATGTACCGGGGAGGGGGGCAGAACTAGCCCTCCGATGTCTCTCTTGGAAGGAAGGAAAGAAAGAAGGAGGGAAAGAAGGAAGGAAAGGAGAGAGGGAGCGAGGAAGGTAGGAAGGAAGGCAGGCACTCTTCCAGTCTTCTTCCCTATAACGCTTGCCTTTCTTACGTGGGCTGGAGGGTGATTGACTAGAGGTTGCAGAATTATTTTCAAGTCTCCCTTTCCTCAACATGGAGGACTATCATATATCAATATGGCAACTCTTACTTTTCCTAGTTTGAGTTCTCAGCTGTAATTCCAGTTAGAAAAATTTCCATCTCGTATGCTTTAGAGCTGTAATTGCTACTATCCTTTAAGAAGTGAGCTGCATCCAGACTCTACGGCTGCAAGGAGCTGAGACACAATTTCCCTCGGTCTATGGATTGAAGCCTCATCTCCGGTTCCTGAAGGGCACTCATGAAGACCAGCCTTGCTGGAGAGATGTGTCACCCTCCCTATCCTCAGTAATCATTCTAATAATGCACGCCTGCTAGCACATTCTGTGTGCCAGCTGCTGGCTTAGTGCAGTAAATATTTTGACTCATTTAATCCCCACTGCAATCCTCCAAGATTCTTGTGGCTATAAGGAGACATTTCTGATTAACATTATTTTTCCTTAGTGACCTTTTTCAAATGTAACAGAGGAGCCCCTTTCAATTCATTCGTTTATCCATAGTTTAGTTCCAGAGAAAAATTGAAAGGTGGCAGCTCTATTTAAAAGAAAATATCAAATGGGAATGATGTTATAAGAAGGAGTTGGAAACACTTTTGAAAAGTAGAGAGCATGATATGCTTTAAGCTGTGATTATGGTAATATTCCGTATTGAACAAAGGTATTCCACATGCAAGTTATTTTTTGGATTGTCTACAGCTCTCTGAGCGTCCTCTGACACAGCTTGGTATTTACACACTCATAGCAATTATGGGTAAATTGCTGATAGAACAAGGATGGCAGATTAGTGCCCACTACAGAATTTCAACCAATGTTTCTAAGTATGCAAAAAACCAAGATCAGTCTGTTTGCAGCAGTAAAACACAATGAAAAGTTAATTAACTGGTATTATTTTATACTTTGTCAGCACTAAACAATGCTTTTGAAGCATGCCACTTTGCTTTTATTGCACTGATTAGTGTCTATCAGTAAGTGATAATGTTAATCTATTGGCTAACACAGTACGTTACAATATTTCCACATGCTGGTGCTCTTAACAGAGACCTTGTGCCCCCCATGAAGTGTATTGTTGGAGGATGCTATATATGTGGCTGTAAGGAGACCACAGATGGGATCAATGATAAAATTATGGGGATAAAAAGGCAGGGCAGGAAATGAGCAAAAGAGAAGTAAGTGGAAATATAAACTGAGATGACCTCAAGCAAGAAAGAGAGAAGAATGAATTCACAGAATATTTTAAAGCCCCAAATTCTGGTGGCTTAAGGGAACACCAATGAACTGATTTTAAACAGAGAGGCTGAGAAGGGGGGAGCACAAGGGTGTCAGAGCGCCAGGCTCCTTTTGGTAATTGAAGATGGATGTGTCCTGTACCAATTTCTCTTGTTTCAAATTTCACAGCACCAGGATGTTATATTGTAGTAACACTCATCTCTCTGGCTCCCCATCATCTCTCTGCCACTCTATTCCAATAGTTCTCATTTGATGACAGCTGACTATGTGTCGGGTTATTAACTGAAAGCCCCACGGTAATCACCAGTGGCGATGCCCATTTTGCAGACAAGACAGCTGAAGCTCAGCAAAGGTGAGAGCATCGATTCAGATTTCATAGCTACTAAATGGCAACGTTGAGATTTGAGCCTATGTGTCTTGAGCTCTTTCTGTACTAACTTCTTTTAATGCATTATTCATTAGGTATAAAAAATCTATACAATGACAACATTCATACTTTGAATCATGGTATGACTACTAAAGGACTTTGATATGACAGTAAATTACAGAAACTTGAATTGGATAGACTCTCCCTAGGTGTCCGACTGGCAGCTTTCACTTCTGGTAAGCTAGGAAATCAAAGCAATGCCCTCCCGACTCTCATAAAAACAAGAGAAGACTGTGAAAAGCAGAATATTCCTGTGGAAACTGTGAGTGAACTGAACAAACGTCTTGCCACTGGTGTGAAAGGAAGGTAACTTTCAATTCTGAAATTTAACTTACGACTTTTTTCTGCTCCCTCTCCAGCTCCATTTCTTTCTTTTCTTGCTCACGAATAATTTTGCGCTGCTGTACATATTCCAGGTGCTTGACTTCTCTTTCAAAGTAGTGGTTAACACTTGATATCTGTTAGAAACAAAGGCACGGCAAGGTGATCACAGGGACGCCCCCATGTTTTCTCAAGGTTCTGTTAGATTCCTGCTGCTTGTAGTTGGGTAGGTTACCTGATCAATACCTCATGACCCCCTTCCTCATCCGGAGGCAGATTATCTACTTTGGGAAACTTCTAACCCTTTGGGCAAATATGTTTTGGAAGTTGTGCCCCCAGCCCACTACCAGAGAAGCTAGTTCCATTTGGTGGGCTACTGTCCTTAGATTTAGGTTGTTGTGACTTGGAGATTTCTAGGAAAGAGAGTGCTGCAAAAAAACCTGCAATTTTGTAGTAGAAATACTTGGGAATTGCTTTTTTCCTCTTTTCTTCTTTCCCACTCCTAAGACTGGTCACCAGCTGAACTTGGAAAACCCAGCTGCAGATATGAATGGAGACCCTAAAGGGACAGGAAGCAGAGCTGAGCCTTGGCCCCAGGGATGCTTAGCATGCAGGCTGAAACCATGGAGAGACAACCTGGGGATATGGAGAAGAAAACCTGTTGCCTGCTGGTTATTGGGCTGCTGTTGAGACTTGCAACAGATTGCAATCTATTTAATGTTGGTTGTAGATATGCTTATGTGTTTCTCTTCACTGATCTTTTTTAACCTCGTTAGTAACATTGCTTGAACACTTGGGTGGCAATAGGGGTGGGAGTGCTGCCTGCAGCTTGCTGAGCTGGGAGGATGATGGAAATATGCATAAAAATGTCAACAGAGTTGTCAGGGAAGGACACTGAAGGTATGGGTCTGAAGTTCAGTTATAGCCTAAAAATAATATTTGATGATTATGACTCCTCAAATTAATCCCTTTCTCAGAGTTTAGGCTTCCTTTTACTTTGCTTCCCTTGTGTCTCAGGTTTATTTTATTGTTTTGATTTGTTTTCCATTTTTCTAGCTTCAAACTTTTAAACTCAAACAACAAGAATACGAATATCTTTTTTTTTTCTTTTTTTTCTTTTTAGTACTGGGGTCTGAGCTCAGGGCCTCAAAAGTAATTTACTTCTTGATCTCTATTTCCCAAGCAGCTGGGATTATATGGGCCTATAATCCTTGTATCCTCTCATTTTTGACTGCATAAGACTCTTGTGATTTTGTAAAGCAAAAATGTTGCCATTTTAAACACACTTTTAAGATATGCCTCAGCAATATTGGATCACAGAAATATTCAAAGCCAAAAGTTACTAACCTCGTTGGTGGAAGGGCGACTTAATGTCCAAGGAATTTCCAATATATGCAGAGTTCCATAATAATCAGCTACAGCTACAAACTGCTGCTTAGCTGAAAGGTTAAAAAAACAGGAAGATTCAGCAAACAGAAAGCCATGGTAAGAGGCCAAACATGAAGTGTGTTTTGTTCTGTGGTTTCCCAAAGGACCTGCTGTGGTCACAGTGTGGTCAACCTCATCATCTGTTCATGACTGGACCACAGAAATAGGTTAGTCATTTTTTCCAGTTGAGGAGATGAAAGCTGAGTAAGACTCTGAGCCTTTGTCAGTGTCTCTGCCCCTCAACTCTTGCTTCCTGGTGTCTGTCCAGGGAGAATGCTGGGGAGCTCTGCACCGGGCCTTGAGAAGAAAGCTGGGAGAGTACCTGGCCAGATTCCCAAAGCAAAGTCCTGCCACACATTTCACCAGCACAGCAAGAGCTAAGGATATCACCATCCAGACTCCTTTCAAAGGCACAGCCAGAACCACAGAGTCTCTCTTATGAAACCAGATCGCTTACTTGAAGCATTTAGACTAAGTAAAACATACAGAGCGTATGATAATTTGGATTTTCTATTTCTTCATGGAAAATGAGGCTTCCTTCTTCTCTCTGTCAGAGGTTCACACTGCGGAATCCTGGACTCACAACCCTTATAGGGACAGAGGCAGTTTTGAACCCACATGGAAAAACACACTTTGATGACACATAAGTAAGGCAGTGACCAGGCTGTGACACTCTAGAAATTTCTGCAGACTGAGGTTCCAGATATAATGCTTCTGTGAGAGAAATGAATAAGATGACAAATTTGTGCCTGTACACCTTTGGAAAGAAAGGAAAACTTCTTTTAGAAAAGGCAAAAATACTGGATTTATACTGAAAGTACTATTTGGGTGAAACAAAAAACTTGGAACAAAGGAAATAAATTACTTTTCTTTTTTTGGTGTTACTGGGGTTTGAACTCAGGGCCTCACCCTTGCAAGGCAGGTAATCTACCATTTGAGCTACTCCACCAGCCCAGTAAATGACTTTTCCATAGACACATGTTTGAATTTAGGCTTGCTTTCTCTTACATTGCTTTTCCTTCATACTTAATCCGAATATTAAGGTTTAAAGAGACACAATCCTACAGGATCATTCGATCTCTCGAAGAGAATTACCTGATTCACCCACAGGAGAACCACAAGGGATGTAACGTTGAAAAATGTGACTTACAGTGAAAAGCTAAAGAAACACAGTTATGCTATATGGAAAAGAAGCAAAAAGTAGCAGAGATTTAGGATCACCCTGTCTGACCTGGAGACAACGAGCAGGATGCTTTCCATGGTGTGGTTCAAACCCAGTCTTGGCTTGACGTGCTAAATATGTCTCAGAAATCATTATTGGTGAGTCAAAACAATGAGAGAATCTCAGTGCGTATCCAAGATTTAGAACAAGAGGGAAGACAAAAGAAGAGGAAGAATGGAAAGGGAAGATTGGAAAAGAGAAGGAAAAAAGTGTGAGAAAGGAAGAGGTGGAAAAGGAGGGGTGGGAAGAAAAGCAGAAACCTGAGAAAAAACATCGGAGGCTTTCCAGATGAATGTCAAAATGTTCCTGAGTTATCCAAAATGATTTGATTAAATGAACATACCAGAAAAGGTACAGGGTTTGATGCAGGTGATCATAGTTATGCAAATATTTTGTGACTGGGCTGGTTCGTGGGTTTTCTCCAGAAGGTCCCAGATATCAATGTATCCGTCTTCCCGACCAATGTAGAACACTCCGGGCCTTGTGAGGGACCAGTGTCCCGAGGTATATCTTTTTGGGGCACAGCATGACTGAAGGAGGGGTCCAGTCTTTAAATGAAAATTTAAAAAGACAAATTAAAGCTTTTGTTATTACCAGAGGGAAACTCACAATGTTTTTCTTTAAGTCAGGTGGCCATAATTCAACAGCAAAATTATCCTTCTAGAAAGTCTTCCTTCTTTTTTTTTTTCTTTTTTCTTTTTTGCTGTACTGGAGTTTGAACTCGAGGCCTCATGCTTGTTAGGTAGGCACTCTACCACTTGAGTCACTCCACCAGCCCTTTTTGGTGTTGGGTATTTTTGAGATAGGGTCTCTCAAACTATTTGCCTGGAGCTGGCTTTGAACCTTGATTTTCCTGATCTCTCCCTCCTAAGTAGCTAGGATTATAGGCATGAACAAATGGTGCCCAGCTTTACTTACTTTTGTGATAGGGTTTTTATATAAGGCAAACTTTTTTTGTTTCCTATTTGTTTTCATAAGTTATTTTTTGTTTGTTTTGGTTGTTTTTTCGGAAAAGACCAAACCTTTCCAATTGAGTTGCTGATGGTCCTAATAACCTGGCTGTTTCTAAATCCATTGGTGTTTCTGTGATTTGTGGATGTTAGGTAATACAGATTATCAGGAAATTTTACTTATACCTTTACTTTGCTATCAGATATTTGTTTCCCATGGAAGCATCTATGGTTACCAGCAAACGCAAACAAAGAGTTTGTCAGTTGCAGCTGTGAGCTACATGTTACAAATCAACAGCAGGGCTCACCAATTCTCAATGAATAACTTCAGATGGGGTATCTGGTGACTCATAAATACATTTGGAAGAGATTTTAGACTACCACAGCATCATGCGATCATCTTCTCTTTTCTCTACCTTGGGGTAATTTGCTAACTTGAGAGATTTTCATGCAGAAAGAAGACTGGCATCTAATTTCTTCCTACTGTCAGGTTCCATCTACCAACTAGATATGTCCAATTGTCTACTTAATCTGCAGTGACTACACTAAACCATAGGGCTGTCTCTCACTCTCCAACATGTATGTAGGAAAGAAGAAAGGCATGGAATCCTGAACTCCCTAAGGTCACAATCCAAACCTCTTCTGCCCACTTCTCCCAGTTCGTTCAGTTTCTATGGGTAACCAGGTTCTTGGTTCCTGCATAGTCTTTGAAAAATCTTGCCTGAAGTTTCTTTGTTTTTTTCCAAACTACAAAACATGCTCACCACAAAAACATTAAGCACACAGAGCACGTCGATATAAAGTAGCTGACATAAAGTCTGTTGATGGATAGCCATGTAAGTTTCATGTTTTAATGACAAAATTTTATAAACATTGGCACACATTATGTGTGTGTGTATAGAATATAAACTTATGTGAGTTAGAGATCCAGAGAGGAACAATTAGGTCTATGGGTACTCACATTCCAGCTGTGAAGCACACAATTTTGGATTTTGATTATCTGAAATTTCTCACCAAAGGTACATAGCAGTTCTCCCACCAAAAGCACCGATTTCCAATTTTCTCAGATTCTTGTTTCACTGGATTTTATCACTGTTTCTAGTTTGGGGCAGTTTGCCTGAATCTGGCCCCTCTCTTAATCTTAACCAGACCCTTGCTCCTGGCTCACTTTGACCCATGGATGTCTGCACGAACTCTGATTGGCCTGATGATGGGCTCCTCACTCCCACTTTCTCAACCTGCCTATGTGCTCCTGGTGGAGAAGAAAAGATGATGGACTCAGTGCTTCCCCTTGGACCTTCATCTCATAATCAGAATCCCATTTTGTATTTTAAACTGAGGCAAAAATATGAGTGGAGTCAACTGCCCACAGTATTTATTTCCAAGAAAAGACTATTAAGTTTCACAGAACAAGGGCCTTATTATGTTGTTTACTTCCCTCAGGAAAGAAAAGCAAACGGTTGTGTTTTCACAACAGTGTCTGCTGACAAACTGGAGCCTAGACCATCTGTTTTAATTTCTCTAAAAAGTGCCCCAAAGGCACTGTGATGTCAGAGCATACCATTGTTCCCATTGTCTTTCCCAATAAAAAAGTGTCACACACCCACTCCTCCACGGTCCATGCGACTTACCATCACATCCTCTTTCCAGATGGCCACATTCCACCCCCCAATGGTGAGGATAATGTCACTGTAAAAAGGTGATCTCTGAACCGTGTGGACAGCTCCATCATGGACTGTGTAGAGGCTCACTGGCTTCTTTGCTGTTGAAATGCAAAAGGTCATTTTGGGGTAAATGAAACTGTTAATAGATGGTTCCTCCTCTTTTTACAGCAAGTCCAGGGAATTCCCATCAACGCACTTTTCAGGTCAGAGAAATTATTCATGTCCTTATTCATTTACCCATTTGTTAGCTCACTCAGTAGATAGCCTGCATGTGCCAAGTGCTGAAGATGGATGGGTAAACAATGGCCAGGAAGCCAACACGATCCTATCCTCATGGAGCTTACAATCTAGTGGGAAAGACAAATACTCTATAAGGAAATCCTAAAATATGTCCTTAAAACACTGCCTCATGAAAGAAAAATATTACAGGAAAGGATGACAGGGCCATTCACAATTCAGACTGAATGCTCAGAAAAGGCTTCCCTAGAAAGAAGCCACCCAGGCCCAAGGACAGTTGGGCATAGGAAGATTTTGGTGTGAAAGATCATTCCAGACAGAGAGACAACACACACCCAAGTCCTAAGAAGAGAAGTGCTCAGTGCTTTGTGCACTTAAGGCAGACAGTAGTACTGGAGTCTGGTGGTCTCAGCACAAGACATGAAATGAATGGGGTCAAGGAGCACTCTGACCAGATAGGGTCTTACAGGAAAGACCCTGGTACACATGCAGTGTATTCTGAGTCTTTTAGGCCTAGAAGTGAGACAAGTGCATTGATTTTCAGATGTTCTCTGCCTGCTGTGAGGAGAATGGGTTGGAGATAGAATGAAGTGGAGACACCAGAGGAGGCTGCTGCAGTGGTTCTGGCAACAGAGGCTGGTGGCATGGATTAAGGTGCAGTGGAGAAGAGTGGATGGTCAGGAAATATTTGTGAGCTCCTCATTTCGTGTAGTTCACAAAGCTCCAAGGATGGCCACGAAAACTTACCCTAGTCAAGGCCACATTACGATGTTTAGCTATGTTATAATGGAACCACACACTGATTTGTGACCTCATGGTATTAATGTTATGTGGAACCAACCCTCCCCCCACCCAGAAACCTGATGGGACAGTAAGCAGAAAAACACCTACTACATCTTGTGAGAAGTTTAGAGTCTTCATGAGGTATCTGTCCACTCACATTCATAGCACTATTTGTGCTAACCAAAAGGGAGAAGTGTTTATTGATGGATGAATGGGCAAGCAAAATGAAATATACGAGGGAGTATTATTCAACCTTAAAAAGTCAGGAAATTCTGACATGTTACAACATAGATGAACCTTGAGGACGCTGTGCTGAGGGAAATAAGCCAGTCACAGGATAAATACTTCATGGCTTCACTTAGGCACCTACATTAGGTAAATTTATAGAAGCAAAAAGTAGAGTGGTAGTTGCCAGGGGCTGGGGGAAAGGAGAACAAAGAGTTAGTATTTCCTGGATATGGAGAAGAGTGCTGGAGATGGTTACCAGTCTGTATGCACGTCCTTCAACTGTACACTTGAAAATGGTTAAGATCATTTCACTTGTCTTCTACCACAATGAATGATTTTTTAAAAGAAAAATTTCAAGGTAAGAAAAATAAATATAAAAAATATAGCTCTCCTGGATTTTTTTTTAAAAAAAGGACAATTTTCCCCCAACTGATCCCCTTTCTAGAAGACAGCACAGAAGACATACTTCTAAGACCTTCTTGAGTGGTCTAGAAGATTCTCAGCAAGGCACAAGACCTCCAGAAATCAGCAGCTTTCTTCCAGCTGCTGCTCCTGTTTTTCAGTCTGGTATCACCCTCAGGGTCAGTGGCTTCCCTAGACAACCTCCTCACCTAGGTTAGCAGGGCTGTCCAGGAGTCTGGAGGCCCCTGGAAACTGTACTGATTATCAGTGATAGCAATACTAACAGCTGTTAGGTTTGTTCTTTAAAATAACAGCTCATAATGACTTTTTTTCTCCTTTTGTCCTTTGAAAGACCTGTGTGCCATTCAGCAATGACTGGAGCTATCCTTAAGTTATTAAATGGAGTGCAGAGCCTCCAGGCCAGGTTGTTAGAAGAAAATGACAATAAACAAAAGGCAGTTTCCAGAGTCATTATCTAATGTGGGATTCAGTACAGTGATGTGGTAAAGAGCACAGAGTCTGGTGACAGAATGTCTGGGTTCAAATGCTGACATGGCCACCTATGGCAGCAACCCCATAGGGCTTCTGTGAGGATCACTTGAGTTAATCCATGCAAAGTGCTTGAAAGAGTGCCTGGCACGTGAGATGTGCTGTATAGATGATGTGAGGGTGGACTCCATGAAATAATTATGTTAACTGTCATCACTGGCTAGCTGCATTTCTTGGCCTGTCCCTTAGAGCATCTGGAAATGTTTGATTTGGCCTTCTCTATCTGTAGAGAAGGGGTAATCTGTATTCCAGAAGTTTCTCTCAAGAAGAAATTCTCCTTCCAGCCTGGTTGTACATTTGAGATCAGCTGATCAAGAGGGATCGGGTCATAGCGATTCCTCATCTTTGCTCAGGAAACCCCCATGGTGTTTATGAAAGACATGGACTGGGAGTGTCCAACAAAACATCTCCAGTTCCCAGGATGTAAACAGGGCACATGGTTTATAGGTCAGAGCATCTGCACACTGACTCTCCACGAGCTTCAATCATCATTCAATGAGAATAACAGCATTGTCCAGCTTTTCATGCTATAAAATACTTGACTGTGGTTTAAAGTATCATAATCCGATAGTCAGTGGCTAAAAGCTATTGCCTTTTTTTTTTTTCGAATGAGCTAAATGTCAAGAAATTAAAAGCAACACAACTCCTCTTTGTCCTTACTACTCACATCCCATTAGCCACAAAGTCCTGCCTGGCCAAACTCACTCTTTCCCACATTTCCCCACTACTCATCCTGTTACCATATCTGTCCTCCAGGCTTCACCATCTCTCAGTTGGGATATTTCAAGAGGTCATTCTGTTTCCATTACGAGTCCTACCAATAAACTAATCCAGCTTTTGCTGTCCTGCAAGGGTGATTTCTGACTATATGGATGACTCTATTGTAAAGTCTAAAGCTTTGAGAAGGGCACTCAAGGCTCTTTGCCATCTGTACCCAAATGGCCTTCTTGTCACCTTTCCTGTTGCTTTTGCCATTTCTATTGCTATACTTTAGCCATGAGTTCCCCTCTTTCTTGAATGTCTACCTCTCTTTTGGGTCTCCATGTCTCTATCATTGTTACTCTTTCTACTGGTGTCTTTCTCATCTTACCCATCTGAAGAATTCCAATCCACACTTTAAGACCCTGCTTAACTGTGTCTTTCCTTAGCTGGATGGTTTCCTAATAGCCCAAGAGAGTTGGCTCCTCCCCAGGCTCCCACAAGACTTTGTATGCTTACAATCATAGCAAAAATGACATAGCAATACCAGCATTTGTTTATTTGTCTGATTTTTCCAATAGATAATGGAAATTCTTTGGAAAAGATATTATCTTAACCATCTTTATATCTCCAGTGTCTGGAACACAGTAGGTTCTCAATAATGATTTGGTGAACGAATGAAAGTGAGAAGGAAAGAGAAAACCAACCTCAGCGAGGTTCCTACATAAAGCTTTTAGATTTTAATTTTATTGCCTTTGGTTTTCATATAAATGGATTATTCATTCCTCCTTGAAAGCAGTTTAGGAAGCTGTCTGTAGGAGGAGATGGAGCCCCAAGAGACTCTCTGAGACCAAGAGGAATTCGTGTCTACTTGTATGCAACCAAGCCATGGTATCAGGTTGTCAGCTTGCATCCCAAGGGTGTGAAGAAGACAACCTCCAGGTTACACAGTGCCTGGTAGGCAGTACATGCACAGTTAACAGTCATGAGTTATTGATTAAATGGATACATGAACAAGTGCAAAAAAAAGTTGATATCCAATATCTAATTTTGAGTTCAACTTTAAATCATGGTTCTGTTTGCACTTGACCCTCCTCTGGGTCATATCTAATCTTTTGATGCCACATTTGAGTTTCTGGCCAGCAGATACTATAGAAGAAAAAAGAGAAGTGAATTGCTTGAAGATTAAAATGGCTACCCTGTAGGCATGACTGACAAAGACAGCCTTCCCAGGTCAAGGGCAGATTCTGGTCTCTGGAGCCAGACTCAGTAGAACTGAAATAGAGTGAAGTTTGAAGTGAAGAATGCCAGTTCCAAAAGCTGTCCCTTGCAGGCTGTGGCTATGACCTCTGATCCCTGTGGTTTACTCACCTTCCACTTGTCCAACCACCCACCTACTGGGCTGACCAGATACCCTTCTGCAAACCAAGTCAGTGGTGGCACCATTTTCATACGGTGTTCTGGGGGCATTCTTGCTACCCTTGTCTGCCTGGCACTCCCCAGAGCTACCTCTTTCTTTGCTTATGGTTATTTTAAACTTCAAAGTGTAGTTCAAATACATTTTCATATCATGATAAAAATCAAAGCCTTAAAGTAAGTAGTTGTAATTGTTGTGAACCCCAAAGCCCTGAACTTATTAAAAGAAGGGAGATTTGTTTATTGGGGTGCCTGTACTCATGGGTGTAACCCACATACACACTCACCTGCTCAGAGTCCAAATCTTGGGAGTTATTTTTTAATTAAATTGCTCAAATGTCTCAGTGATTTAAATATCATATAAATCAGTGCTGTGCAAATTTGGTGTGAAAACAAACCACCTAGCAAATCTTATAAAAGTCCAGATTTGGGTTCAATAGGGCCTGGGGTAAGATCCAAAATTTTTATATGCATTTCTAGTAAGCTCCCAGGTGACAACTAGACAGCTTGGTAAAGGCTCTCACTTTGATGAACACATGCATTAGTCAGAACTGGGGATGGCTTCCTTCCGACTAGCAGGACCAGGACCAGGGGTCCTCAGGAATGTCTTATTAGTAACAGATCAATCCATAAGACTTACTCATCAATCGGCCAGTTTCAGGATCTCTTTCCATTTTCCAATCGGTGTAGATCACTTCACCTTCCTAGAAATATTAGTTTCCAGATGAATATAATGACAACTTCAGAGACCTCATGTCTTTTGTCTTAAGCTAAGACTGATTATGATCAAGACAAGCACAAAGCAACAGGTCATTTTAATCCCATGGTAATTCAATGTGACAAGGGAGAAAGTCTCAAAAGTATTACTGTACTTGATTTTATATTGAACAAAAAATGAGTTTGTTTTTACCTACACACAGTGATGAGGAGAACATGGGTAGTTGTGGGAGGTGTGCTATGTACAACAGTCCCAATGGCTGGGTTTTCAGAGTTTTTGGTCATCTTATTCAGTAATTTGTTCACAGAATGTAACAAAATCAGGACTTAATAAAGACTTGTGGATTACAAGAAAGAGGGAATATGCATGCATAATATGGTAGTAATTACCTTTTAAAGTTGAGAATGGGAAACATAAAACTTAATCCAAGTAAATAACAAGTAATACATATTCTAGTTCTATCTTATGACCATTTTAAAGAGAGGGGAAGGCAGAAGGACTTGATGTGAAGAGGAATGAGACAGAACCAATGAACAACAATGGGTGAGGTAGCAGTCCCCACTGTCATCTTATAAGAGAACATAGAGGCTCAGAGTCAAAATAATTGACTCAGAGTCACCCAGATGCAGTCTTCTAATTCTAATGTCATCTGTGTGTCCCCCCCTCCCCTTGCAGAAAGAAGAAGGGTGTGTGAAAAGAGGAGTTAAGAGGACTTGGGGTAGAGGAATGGGTTGGGATGGTAGATAAGGGAGGGGAGATGAGAAAGAAAATGCTTGATACCTACAAAGTGAAGAGTAAGCTTGGTGGTGGTGCCAGGAGCTGGGGAAAGGAGAGAATGTGTTATTGTTTGATGGGTGCACAGCTCCAGTTTGGGGTGATATAAGGTTCTGTACAACAATAAACAATGTACTTAGTACCACTGAATTGTGTACTAAAAAACAACTAAGAAGAACAACTTTACGTTATGTATATTTTAAATAATTCAAATACTTTGGTGTGAAACCTGTTATAAAATGTATCTATTTGGTGGTGTCCCATTACTTACAAAATGAAGTTCTAATTACTTAAGATGACAGGAAAGGCCCTTCAGTGTTGGCCTTCAGCCCAGTGTTCTAGGCGTAGCTTCTCCTCTTGCACCAGACTATTCCACTATCCCCAGACAAATCCTGGACTTTCATAACTTCAAAATATTGTTCAGGCTGTTACTTCTGCATAGAATTGTGCCCTCACCCAGATCTCCTGGTCTCTTCTCAACTGTGTCAGCTCATGGGTCACATCTCCCCTTTCCTGTCCGTGTGGTCTCTGAACTAGCATTGCTATACCAAGTTTTCGATGTTTCTTCTCCTTAAAATGGGCAGAAAGTGTCCTGAGGACAGAGAGACTCTACTATTCATCTCTGATTCCAGGACCTAGCCTTGTGCCTGGCAGGTCCTGTGCTCTCCAGAGCTTATAGCATCAATTAATATCAGAATACCAAAGTGTAAACACAAGTTGCATTCTGGTGAGACTGAGCTATGGCATCTTCCCTTGTGGCTTGGCTTAGGAGAAAACCCACTTATTTTCAAAAAAGAGAGTCAAGAATTAGAATAACTGACTATAAACAAAGTTCTGAGCCTCATTTTTCTTCATCTGTAAACGGGAATAATATTATCAACCTCATAGGATTATTGAGATTAAATGAGATACAATTTGGATGATTAACTGGCATAGACCAATGTGAACATGTTTCATTTATTATTTAGTAGGTGACGAAAAATGGCATTGTTGTTATATCCAGTTGTCATTTATCTTTTCAACTGAGTTTTTCACTGTATTCTTACTAGTTTGTGTTAGCCTAACAAAATAAGATAAATAAGTAATAAAAATATAAGTAAAAAAATAAGTAAATCTTCTGATATTTAGCATTGATTCTTCCATATAGCAAAGGTATTTGACAAATATTTACAGGTCAATCAATAAATTATTAATAAAGAGAGTCCTTAATTTTATACATTTTTCCATATTTGTTAAGGATCTTTTAAACGTGAATCAATGAAACATCAAAGCTAAAAATCTCAAATGCAAATAAGCATATTAAAGCATGAAAATCTATAAATATCATAAACTTTCAAACAGCAAATGTACAACAGGGGTTATAACCGTATCTTTTACTGTTCTTAAACGTTAATTTTAAAAGCAGACATTTCCGTTTACCTCTGTTCCCACAAAGAATTTGGTGCAGAAGTCCTCTATTGGCTTGAGAAAATTGTTCAACCCTGCTTCGAGATTGTGGAATGGATTCACTTCTTCACTGCTCATTACTTTGCTCTGAACTAACATTTTGTCTTTCAGAAGAGGATAGATAGAAAAATCACATATTTATGGTGATCTTTAAAAATATAGATTATATTTTCTGTCCCTTGATACACTCATCTATCCCATTCATTCCCTTCCCAATATGGTAGGCATTTTTAGGTTCCAATTTAATGGTAGAACTCTTTTTTCAAACTAGAACATCAATGACAGTGTCACAGTATAAAATATATATCATAGCTAAACATGCAAGCAGTGAAGGAACATAGCTAATTTGGGGGCTTAAATGCAAAGTACATCAGGAATTGTTTCTTTTTAGAAATATTTGATGTCACCTTATTTTAAAACAAAGGTTTTTATGATCTAAAATTAATAAATATTATTTATTAAAGCTTTGGAAAACAGAGGAAAGTGTGAGTAAAAAAGGAAAACATTATTCATTGTCATATCTCCCAGAGATAACCACTACTAAAGTATTGTCATTTTCCCTCCAATGACTTTTCTACAAATAAATAGATTTTATAAAAATTATTTTAGCTTTGTGTCCTGCTTTCTTCTGCATTCTCTTCTCTCTCTGTCTCTCTCTCTGTCTCTCTCTCTCTCTCTCCTTTTCTCTCTCCTATAGGGAGTTGAATTCAAAGCCTCTCAGATTGCTAGGCAGGTGCTCTGCCACTTGAGCCACAACCCCAGACCTTTTTGTGCTGGTTATTTTTTGAGATAGTGTCTTTTTTTATGCCCAGCTGGCCTGAACCACTACACCCAGCCATTGGTTGAGATGGGGCCTTGCGAACTTTTTGTTCTGGCTTTCCTCAAAGCATGATCCTCCCAGTCTCCACCTCCCGAGTAACTAGGACTATAGGTGCCCAGCTCTTCTGTTCTCTTAAAGATGGGTCCTGATCATTTTCCCAGGCCACTTATTAATTTTCACAAATGTGATGTTAAATTTCTAGGAAAAATTGATAGAGAAATACATTTCATTAAACCCTTCTGATCATACCTCTTATCTGTGGGAAAACACCAACAAACATAAACACCACCCAAAAAACAGACAGACAAAATCTCAAACAGGTATATTAAAAATATACATTGCATTCAAAAAAAACTTTAGCATAATTCAGGACAAAAGTAAAACAAATTTATGATTTACTTGCTATAGTCAACCAATATTTTCTTTGGGGGATCTACATTTTTTGAGAATTCTCTTTTTCTACTAGGCAAGACGTTAAAAACGGGTATCAAAAATCAGCCAAATACAGTTATTTAAAGGGGCTGGCGGAGTGGCTAAAGTGGTAAAGTGCCTGCCTAGCAAGCAGGAGGCCCTGAGTTCAAGCTTTAGTATCACACACACACACACACACACACACACACACACACACACACATCCCCACTAAAGGAGATAGCCCTGTAAACACCTGAAACACCTGGACTGCAAAGTATAAATCAACATTTCAATAGATAACTGGGTACATTCAATTGCATTACCCTTATTAAAAGGAAAAGCAAAAGAGAATTTTGTATCTAAGATAAAAAAGTATTTCAGATTCTTAACTCTTGTTTCAGTGTTTGCTTTTCTCTTTTTTTAAAAACAATGTACATAAATATAATCATAGAGCAGAAATGTATACAAGTTGCAAATAAATATATGTGCATTGCAGATTTGTACCCAAATATGTTTACCAAGGAGGTGCACAAGAATAAAAAGGCTGGTGGCCTCTGGTCTAATAAAGAGAAACAAGACCCTGATCCATGCAGTCACCACAGGTAATGAAAAGAGCAAGCACGAGCTATATTGCAAAGGAAGACAGAGTGATTCTGAGTGAGAAACTGGAAATGAAGGCCTACGAAGAGAGGCAGGGATGACTCAGATTATGAATTCTGCTCTGAACATGGTAACTTTGAGGGGTAGATTGGGTTCAAAGCCAGAAAGACCGTGAGAGGTTGAGTGGAGAATTCTCAGCAAAGATGAAAGTTGGAGCCATGCAGGTAGACCATGTTACTAAAAGGAAAAGTGTATAATGAGGAAAACTTCGCTGAAGTTGATCTTTTCATTATCAGAGGGCAGTAAGGCAAAATGGAGCCATGAAGGAACACAGAGGAGGAGAAATTAAAGAAGTAACAGAATAGGAAAACCACAAACGCTAAAGAAGGTGTGAGCTCCAAGAAAATAATGCTTTATGTGGTAGAGTCAAAGAGGATGAAGCCTGAGAAAAATGTTATCATCAATTACATTTGCTCAGACTTGAGTGGAATAACTTTGGATATTTGGTAAATTCAAAGTCACCCTCATACGTCATGGATTTTCCAATGATTAGTGATGGTAATCTTAGCAACCAATGTTTATTAAATGCTGATTACAACCAGGCATAAATGATGTACTTTACGTGAACCATTTCATTCAGTCCTCGTGATGACTTTCAAGGCAGTTATGCGTTAATCTTACTTCATGGATGAGAACATTGAGGCTCAGAGAGATTGACTGCTTTGCACAAGGTCTCCCAGATGGTGCTAACATTTATTATGAGTTAACTATATGCTGTTCTTAGCTTCACGTTATTAACTTGTGTTATCTTCACAATGTCCTGTGAGATAGCTGCCTTCCTTATTTATTCCCTTTATCTTTCACTAAGGTCAAACATGTTAGAAGAAAGAAGGCACAGAAAGGTATAGTAATTTGACCTGGTCAAATAATAAATTGTGACATTGAGATTTAAAACCAAACCATAGACTCCAGAATATACACATGGGCCCTGAAGGCTATTTCAAAAGAAGAATTCCAAACCATTTAGAGCAAAGCCTTCTTCATTAGAATATAGAATTTCTTTAAGTCATTGAGTACTTAAAAGGGCAGTCAAAGTGTCACTAGATGGCAACAGAGTACCAGACATGGGCCCAGACTGAGCAGGTCTCAAGAAAAAATGGCATTGTAATAACCAGGACTTGTGATCCAAATCAAGAGGAACCGGTATTGGATCAATAAGCAAAATGTGATCAAGAAACTTATGAATGTATTGTAATTAAAAGGTCCAAGTCAGGCCAGAATAGGTGGCTAACTGGCAATGTGTAAAAAGGAGATCCAAAGTACCATATCTGATCTCTAATGAAGTCCTCAAAGCTAGCAGTTCACAAAGGAGGCATGAAATGGCCATAGAGTGACACATGTAGAGATAACACTTGACTGCATGTGTTAGCAAGATCCCTGGGATCATTACCAAGTGAAATTGACTTCTTTCTGGATGGTAGAATCGCTTGCAACACAAACTTCTTAACACGGCCAACTAGTATCTTAGCTGGGAATCTAAAATGTGTCTGTTCCTAAATCTCATGCTCTAAAAAAGTCTATAAAATCATGTTGTCCAGAAAGACAACATCCATTTGATGGCGTGTATTCCTGTTTGATGATGTATGGGGATGCTGCAAGCTGCTATTTTAAATAGGCCCCTCCTGAAGTACAGGTAAATACATATTTCATGTATTTTAGTGTCTGTGCCACTAGAGCCTGGGACTTTGCAGGAGTTTAGTAAATATTTGTTGGATGAAGACAGGCATAAACATGGAGATAGTATAAATTAATCTTTAAAAACAAAAAGGATAGCAATATTTCGATGTAATGCTTTGGGTCACATTTTCCCCCAAGGGTTAGCTGTGTCAACAGCAAAATGAAATGTAAGCTTTCTTTAAGAAATGCGTAGTTTGAACTCAGAGCTTTATGCTTGCAAAACAGGTGCTCTGCCACTTGAGCCACACTCCCAGTCCATTTTGCTCTGGCTATTTTGGAGATGGGATCTTGTGAACTAATTGCTTTGGCTGGCCTTGAACTGATTCTTCTGATCTCAGCCTCCCAGGTAGCTAGAATTAAAGGTCACTGGTGCTGGCTCTGAAAAGGTGCATTTATACAGCCTCCAGAAAGTGATAGACTGAGAATGTAGCATTTATAAAGATATGAAGGACCAACAGAAATTACACTCACTTTATGAATGCTAATGCTTAAATTTGTTTGTATAAAAATATTTAGTCATATCTTAATACATTTTTAAAAAACACGCTTTAGAGAGACTTTTGCTTTAGGCCAAGATGGAGCAATTGGAACGAACTTAAAGCCCACTCACGTAAAACAACCACAAAAACAGACAAAATACATGAGACAATAGTTTTCAAGATACTGGATTTCACAACAAAGGACAGTGATCACTGAAAAATACACAGATAAAATGATCATAGTTTAAACTCTAATCATATTGATAATTGCATCAAGTGAAAAGGTTCTAGATATCCAAATTAAAAGACATATGTGATTAGATTGGACTAAAAACCAGCATGACTCAAAAGAAATGCACACTAAATATAAAGACACAAGTAGATTAGATAGGTATGTTACCTTACACTAACTAAAGAAAGTTGGAATGACTTCAATAATATTAGACAAAGTAGATTTCAAAGTCTAGGGTAATATGTGGAATACAGGCCTAATGCAAATACAAGCAATATTATATAGACATAGAAATATACAGAGAACATATATCCAAAAGCGGGACAGGTAAAGGAGACCAAGGGAGACGAAAGAAGGAAAGACAGCAAGTGATGAAGTACAGCACATCTGTGTAGAAGCATGATGCAAGGAAACATGCCGGAAAGTGCTAAGCAACACAGAATGGGGGAAGAGGGCAAGGAAGAGCAGTGGAGGGGGCTACACTGACTTAAGCACAGTGCATGTACAGGTATAATAACAAGGCAAAAATCCCACTGAACAACAGACAGACACCTAAACAACAAAGAACAAGAGTGAAAAATGGGTCACAGTCAGGGGAGGGCACTAAGGAGAGGGGGAGGATAAAAGAAGGAAGAAGGTGAATATGGCTGATGTACTTCCTATTTAAGAATGAAAATAGAACTTTTAAATGTGTTGAAATCATCACAAGAAGGGGACTAAGGTAGAAAGAGGAAAAATAGAGGGGATGAACCAATTTGGGATATAATACATATATATACAGAAATGTCACAATGAAACTCTGTATAGCTAAACAAACAAAAACTG